GCCCTTTCACACAATAACAGATGTTAGAGGTAATAGCATTTGAATAGATAATATGAAAAGTAAAGCAAATAAAAAGTTTTATTTTCTAACTTTAATTTAAATGGTTGTGTCCTGACCTGCTTTTCTCTGCCACATTATTCCACCTCAAGCCCTGAGGAGTGGAGTCAGCCATCTATAAACTGAGACCTCTGAAACAGAGTTTTTCAAGATGGTAGAATTGAGAAGGTCACTTTCCTAGCTGTCCCATTGCATGAAACCAAGAAAGCAGACAGGCAGCTTCTCAGCAAGGTCGGTGAAAAAAGGCTGGGGGAGCGCTTTACTGGGATTTAATATTGGACATGCAAAGTAGATCGGGAACTCAGGAGGTTGGATATAATAAAATAAGAATGAAATACCCAGGGCCACCGTCATTGATATGGCCAAAGACACCATCCAGAGTGGTCCCTTGGCAAGCAAAGTGGAGGGGTAAGGGAATTAAAGAAACCTACATTTTTAGGAGGCCTGAGGTATGTCTGGGTATGGAGAGATCAGAGATAAAAGACACTGCCTGACTAAACCGAAAAGTGTGGGGCACAATATCCTTGTGCAGAAAAGAAACTTCATTTCTCCCAGCTGCCTGTGGAAGACAGAGGAAGGAGCCATTTTGCAGCTGCGGCATAGGGGCCAGCAGCTGGGGGAGTCTGTTCCCGACAAACCTGGGTTTGGCCTGAATCACAGGCCTGGCAAACCCACATGAAATGACATAGAGTGTGCTTAAGTTAGGTTAAATCAAATATGGAAAGAGCTTTACACAGGGCACAAATGGTCATGGAAACCCACCCAATTCCTCTATTCTCCTCCAATCTGGCAGTTTGCAAGACTGGCTGGGATAGATGTGCCTAGCAGGGAATTCAAAAGGGCTAGGGTGGGAGAAAGTAAACCCAGGAGACCAGGAAAAATGGGGTCCACAGGTGATGTAGAGGACTAAGAACTGGCTCCTCAACCACATGAGTGGGACTCATGGGAGATCCCTAGGGTATAGTCTTCCAGTGTGGACCAGCAACACTGGGCCATGATGGTGCACTGATTTAAAATCTTCAGACCAAGCAGCATTCAGCAAAAAGCTGGAGACAATCTAAGCCTAAAGCATGTGATAAACACTTTTATATATTCATATTCATTTTTTTTTCTCATCTCAACCTTTTTTGAAGCAAGTTATTTTTCATGGATCAGTATTTTGAGAACTAAGATGTTTGATTAGTATATTTTGGTTTTGTTACATATTCTTTTATTTTTAGTTTTTCAAAATTTTACTTATTTGTTTCATTATCTATTTCCCTTGATTCTCTTTTCTTTTGCTAGCAGCCAATGTCTATTATTCTCCCTTTCACTCTGCCTTTAATTTTTTACTTCTATCTCTCCTCTTCTCTCATAATCATATCTTATATCACTTCTGTTCTCCCCGTCTACCATTTGAAATTGTAAACTCTTTTGCAAACTTACTATTTTTATTGTAAACAATTACTCATCATATCATTTTTATTTATTGTGATAATCAATATTGTAGACATCAGAGCAGGAACTATTTGGTTTAATGCTGTTTTTTTTTTTTTTTTGCATTGGTTGTTGTTATTATTTGTCACCATCTAAACAGTGAAATACTAAAATTCAGGGACACTAATAATCTGCAAGGTAGAAAATCTACACCTCTGATCCATACCCTCAGATGGGCAGACACACAAATAACATGAAAAAGCAAGGGAATAAATCACCCCAAACCAACCAAGATACTTCAGTAACAGAATACACCAACATCGTAGTGGAAGAAATGTCAGAGAAAGAGTTTAGAATGTTCATAGTTTAACTCATCTGTGAGGTAAAGGACATTATAAGGAGTGAAATCAGAGAGAAAATACAGGACATGAAAAATCGCTTCAACAAAGACATAGAGATTCTGAAAAAAAAAATCAAGCAGAAATCCTCAAAAATGAAGGAATCAATAAGCCAAATTAAAAATTCAATGGAAAGCATCCCTAGCAGACTAGGCCACTTGGAAGAGAGAGCTTCATGCCATGAAGACAAAATATATAATCTTTGAAAATAAAGTTAACCATGGAGAAATGATGTTAAGAGACCATGAACAGAACCTCCAAGAAATATGGGATAACATGAAAAGACCAAATTTAAGATTTGTTGGGATAGATGAAGGCTCAGAGATACAAATCAAAGGAATACACAATCTTTCCAATTAAATAATATCAGATGATTTCCCAAACCTAAACAATGAAATGGAAAATCAAATACAGGTGGCTTAGAGGACATCAAATACACAAAATTACAACAGACCCATACCAAGACACATTTTTATGAAAATGACTAACATATAGAATTAAGGCTGACAGAGAAAAATGACAAGTTATATTTAGTGGAAAACCAACCCATATCTCATCTCATTTCTGAACCCAGACTCTCAAAGCTAAGAGGCCTTAGAAAAATACGTACCAAGCTCTAAAGGAAAATGGATGCCAGCCAAGAATGCTATAAATTGAGCTTCTGAATTAACAAATAAAAACTTTCCACAAAGAATTCACAACTAGAAAGCCTGTACTACAAAATATACTCAATATAATAGCTCATGAAGAAGAAATAAAAAAATAAAAGTAAAAACCAGAAAAGGGAGGAACTACACCAACAGAGCAGTGAATCAATGGAGAAATTAAATTCAAATGAAATCAAATTAAAAACCAGAAGCAAGTCAAAATTTCAGGGAATAAAAATCACATCTCAATAATAACACTGAATATAGTCAAGCATGTGGTGCATGACTATAATCCCAGCAACTTGGGAGGCTGAGGCAAGAGGATCTCAAGCTTAAAGACAGCCTCAGCAATTTAGCGAGCCACTAAACAACTCAATGAGACCCTATCTCTAAATAAAATATAAAAAAGGGCTGGGGATGTGGTTCATTGGTTAAGCACCCTGGATCCAATCCCCAGTACCAAATTAATAATAATAATAATAACATTGAACATAAATGGCCTCAACTCTTCAATCAAAAAACACAGACTGGCAGATTGGATTAAAAAACAAGACCCAACAATAAGAGACTCACCTAATAGGCAAAGACAGACTGAAGGTGAAAGAATGAAAAAAAATACATCACTCACATGGATCTTGTAAACAAGCAGGGATTTCTATCCTAATATCAGATAATATAAGTGGACTTCAAGCCAAAGTTAATCAATAGGGACCACGAAGATCATTTCATCCTGCCTAAAGCAATTATACACCAATCAGACATAACAACTATAAATATTTATGCCCCCAAAATGGAGTATCTATTTACCTCAAACAAAACCTTCTCAATTTCAAGAATCAAACATATCACAACATAATAATACTAGGTGACTTTAACACAACTCTCTCATTACTGTATACATCCTCCGAAACCAAAAACTAAATAAAAAAGCTATAGAACTCAAATATACAATTAATAATCTATATTAAAAGACATATATAAAATATTTCATCCATCAGTGACTTTCTTCTCAGCAGCCATAAATGGGCAAAGGAACTAAACAGACACTTCACTTAAGAAGAAATACAAATAGTCAAGAAATATATGAAAAAATGTTCAACAACTCTAGAAATTAGATAAATGCAAATTAAAACTACACTGAGATTTCATCTCACTCCTATCAGAATGGCAATTATCAAGAATACATGTCAAAATAAATGTGGGCGAGGATGTGGTGAGAAAGATACACTTATTTATACATTGCTAGTGGGAATGAAAATTGGTCCAACCACTCTGGAAAGCAGTATGGATATTCCTCACAAAACTTGGAATGGAACCACCATTTTACCCAGTTATCCCACTCCTCAGTATATAATCAAAAGACTTAAAGTCAGCATACTACAGGGATGCAGCCTCATCCATGTTTATAGCAGCTCAATTCACAATAGCTAAACTATGGAACCAATACACATGCCATTCAAGAGATGAATGGATAAAGAAAATGTGGTATATATACATAGTGAAATATTACTCAGCCATAAAGAAGGATGAATGTTCTCTCTGATATGTGCATCCTATAACACACAATAAGGTGGGAAGAGGGAAGAATAGAAGTTCACTGAATTAGACAAAGGGGAATGAAAGGTAGAAAGGGTGGATGAGAGTAGGAAAGAAGGGAGAATGAGTCAGACATAACTGTTCCTATAACTATGTCCATATATAAACACATGACCAGTGTAACTCCACATCATGTACAAACAGAAAAATGGGGTCCTAATTAGAACAAATGATACTCCATGGATCTATATCTACTGTCATGTATATCTAAAAAGAACAAATAAAAAAGGAAAAATAAATAAATTAAATGCAACATAATATTGTGAATCCAATGAAATTTTGTTTAATATTTATTTAATATTCTTCATATAAACACTGAAAACTGAGATTAAAAATAGGAAGGACAGCAAGCAATTTTACATCTCGGATATAGATGATCCCTGTGGCTATAAGACCCTGGTGTCAGAAGTCACTTTGTTACACAAGTACACCTTTCTAGTTGTATGTCTTATTTCAGGGGTTCCATTACCTTCTCCAACACCTTATTAGACCCACCACTGCCATATACCACATTAAAACAAATCCCTGTAATGCGGCCCTCGAATGGGTACATGCAAATAATATCAGCTGAGAAAGAGCATTATATGCAATAGTATCTCATGTCCTTTATGTATTCGACTGATATAGTCCTCCAACAACCTACCGAGGTAGGTAGCATGCTTTTTCTACTTTACAGTGACATTCCCAATGTCACAGAGCTGGTCGGCCTGTGGCAGAACTAAGGTTCAAACACAGGCTCCACCATATGCTTGAAAACAGTAAGGCACTGATGAGCTTCATTAAGAAATTTCCCAGTCCCATCTCCAACTTCAAATAAGTTGATGGGTTATCTAGATAAATGAGTTAATTTTGTTTAATATAAAATATAAGACCTCCAGTGGCTGACCTTGGAAAACAGCTCAACAGGTGCTGCTATAGCGTTCTGTTCTTTCAAATACTGCTCCCAAGACCAGGATTCTTGTGTTGCCACTGAAGGTGCTGGAAAAAAAAAAAAACATAGGGTTTTCTTGAAGCAATCTGTGATAGAAAAGTAACAAAATTTAATTGAAAATAAATTCAAGAAGCAAGCATAATAAGTTAGTGACAGAAGATCACCAACTAAAAAGAAACTTTCCCCTCATGAAAATCAGCCAACCACATTTTCCTATTTGGAACAGGATAATATTGGATAAATTCACCTTCAGGAAGATGCCTGATGAATACTTAAAACAGGTGCTCTCAAAGAGGTTTTCTGGAAAGTGATGGTTTATATTTAAGAAAATAATATGTAAATTTTTTTTTCAGTGTGGAGATCAAACCCAGGACCTCCTACATGCAAGGCAAGTGCTCTACCAGTGAGCCAAAACCCAGTCCCTCAAACACTTTTTATAATTTCCTTTTGCTTTCTTAACTCTTTGGTATAAATGTCAACTGTCAAAAGGCACTGTGGCAATATATGTCAAAAGTCTTAAAACTTATTCCTACAATTTGAACCAGCAATTCTCCTTCTATGAAATTGACTTAATGAAATCACAGTAGATATGCCCAAGGGGCAAAACACAGGGTTCTTCAGCTAGAGTTCATATAATAATATAACATCAGAAATAAACTAAAGGTCCTCCAAGAGGAAGTTAAGTAAACTCATTGTACAGACATGTAATTTTAATAACAGTAAAACCATGTGTAGAAGGCTGTCTAATGATAGAGAAATGCTATGTTGATGATACTGTACTGAGTGGGGTAAAAAGTTTAGAAAACAAAATAATCCTTTTTGCAAATATGTAATGGATTATAAAAAGATGAAAATTATATAAATAAAAATCTTGAATGAAGTCATCTTTAGTACTACGATTATAAATCATTTCTTCTCTGTTTTTCTGCTTTCCAAATTGTCTACATTAATAGCTAATCACTGTAATTCAATAAGTGTCATTTTAACAATGTAAATCTAGCAAAAAGAATTAGTCATTGTTTTAAATTTATGTTCTGAAGCCTAGTAACATCTCCTCAAGAATTATCTCCTAAGGGAGTACTCAAGCACTAATAAATGTCGATGAAAAAATGTACATCACAATGCAACTATAAGAAAGCAAAACAGTGTTAGTACAGGAGGAAGATTAAATAAAACTATAGTGTGTGTGGGTGTGTGTGTATGATTGGAATCATCAAAAACTATATTTTTGTTTCTAAAATATTTTTAAAAACATCTTAAGGATTAAAATCAGTTTGCATGGTCCTTTGTATCCTTACTTATGTTAAATAAAATATTAAATAAACAAGGCTTTCAAAGACAAATATCGGTCAAGCCCGGTGGCCCAGACCCATCCACACCAGCCCGTGCAGGACCTAGGCTCACAGGGGACTTGGTCCACCCCTCCCCATGTGGGGCAGACACATGCCAGAGCCTAGCCTCTGGCCCAGGACCATCCATTCTTACCAGTGGACTACTATGAGAGCCGAGATCCAGCCCAGACCCCCAACACAAGCTCGCATAGGACCCAGGATCTCAGTAGGCCCGGTTCACCCACACCAGCCTGTGCAGGTCCAAGGCAAAAAACAGGCCCAGTCAATCCCTCCCCATGGCGGGACAGACACCCACCACAGCCTAGCCTCTGGTGTAGTACTGCCCCTTCCAACCCGGCAGCTCAGATCCACCCACTCAAACTTGCACAGGACTCAGATCCAGGATGCAGTAGCATCCATTGAGAAACATCAGCAGAGTTTAGAAGCCCATCATCATGGTAAGGTACAGATAATCTGCACGGGTACTAGAAGAATATAGGGAAGAAACTGTAATATCTCAGATCTACACTTCAAGAAAGGAAGGCACATAGAGAACATGAAAAAACAAGAGAGGAAAGTGCCCCAAACAAACCAGGACACTATAATAACATAACCCACAGACAGCGAAGTTGATTAAATGTTAGAGAAGGAATTCAGAAGGTTCATAATTAAGATAGTAGAATGAAACAGACATTTTTACTTTATGTACATATGTGACTATATGACCAATGTTATTCTACAGTATGTATACTCAGAAAAAAATGAGAAATTATGTCCCATCTATGTATGATATATCAAAGTACATAACTGCATTCTACTTTCATGTATAACTAATTAAAAAAAATAAAAAATTTAAAAAAGGTTCATAATTGAAATAATCTGTGAATTAAAGAATGACCTAAATGAGAAAATACAAGCAAAAATTCATCACTCCAATAATGAGATAAGAGAGCAAATACAGGTAGCAAAAGATCACTTCAAGAAAGCAATAGAGACCCTAAAAAAATAAACAGTCAGATATCCTTAAAATGAAGGATACAATACATCAAATTAAAAAACTCAATAGAAAGCATGACCAACAGACTAGATCACATGGAATAAAGTACTTCAGATAATCTGAAAAATAAAGTTGATCACACAGTGAAGATAATTAGAAACCATGAACAGAACATCCAAGAATTATGGGACAACATCAAAAGACCAAATCTAAGAGTTATTGGGAGAGAGGAAGGCACAGAGTTTCAAACTAAAGGAATGTACAATCTCTTCAATGAAATAAAATCAGAACAAGCATGAAGAATTAATTAAAAAACCAAGTACAAGAGGCTTACAGGACAACAAATGTACAAAATTATGGCAGATCTACACCAAGGCTTATTATAATGAAATGCCTAGCATATAGAATAAGAAAGCCACAAGAGAGAGGAATCAGATCACATATAGGGGGAGACCAATTCATATCTCAGCAGATTTTCCAATCCAGACCCTCAAAGCCAGGAGATCATGGAACAACATATGCCAAGCTATGAGAGAAAATGGATGCCAACCAAGCATCTTATATCCAGAAAAACTAAGCTTTAGATTTGATGATGAAATAAAAACCTTCCATAATAAACAAAAGTTAAAAGAATTGACAACTAGAAAGCCTGCACCACAGAACATCCTCAGCAAAATACTCCAAGAAGAGGAAATGAAAAACTGATGAAAATCAGCAGAGAGAGGTATTACACTAAAGGAAAATCTAATCAAAGGAGAAACCAGGTCACATTAAATAACAAAAATGGCTGGGAATACAAATCATGTCTCAATAATAACCCTGAATGTTAATGGCCTAAATTCACCAATCAAAAGACATAGGCTAGCAGATTGGATGAAAAAGAAAAGACCCAACAATATGCTGCCTCCAAGAGACTCATCTCATAGAAAAAGACATTCACAGACTAAAGGTGAAGGGTTGGGAAAAATCATATCACTCACAATGGACTGCGGAAGCAAGCTGGGTTTCCACTCTCATATCAAATAAAGTAGATTTCAAACTAAAGTCAATCAAAAAGCATAAAAAAGGACACTACATACTGCTCAAGGTAACCATACACCAACAAGACTTAACAATTATATATCCCCCAAAAATGGAACATCTACATTCATCAAACAAACTCTTCTCAAGTTCAAGAGTCAAATAGACCACAACACAATAATTTTGGGCAAATTTAACACGCCTCTGCTTAGGCCCCAGCTTCCTTAATAAGACTTCTGTGGCACAAGAATTATAATCAAGAATCAATAAATGGGATGGACTCAAACTAAAAGGTTTCTTCTCAGCAAAAGAAACAATCTGTGAGGTGAATAGAGAGCCTACATCTTGGGAGCAAATCTTTACCCCTCACACATCAGAATAGAGTACTAATCTCTAGGGTATATAAAGAACTCTAAAGCTAAGCACCAGAAAAAATAAATAACCCAATCAATAAATGAGCCAAGGACCTGAACAGACACTTCTCAGAAGATGGTATACAATCAATCAACAAATATACGAAAAAAATGTTCATCACTAGCAATTAGAGAAAAACCACTCTAAGATTTCATATCACTCCAGTCAGAATGGCAGCTATTATGAACACAAACAACAGTAAGTGTTGGAGAGGATGTGAGGGGAAAGGTACACTCATACACTGCTGGTGGGACTGAAAATTAGTGCAGCCAATATGGATAGCAGTGTGGAGATTTCTTGGAAAACTGGGAATGGAACAACCATTTGACCCAGCTATCCCTCTCCTCAGTCTATACCCAAACGACTTAAAAACAGCATACTACAGGGACACAGCCACATCAATGTTTATAGCAGCACAATTTCCAATAGCTGAACTGTGGAACCAACCTATATGTCCTTCAATAGATAAATGGATAAAAAAAATGTGGCATATATATACACAATGGAATATTACTCAGCAATAAAAGAGAATAAAATCATGACATTTGCAGGTAAATGGATGGAGTTAGAGAAGATAATGCTAGTGAAATTAGCCAATCCCAAAAACCAAATGCAGAATGATTTCTTTGATATAAGGAGGCTGACTCATAGTGGGATAGAGAGGGGGAGCATGGGAGGAATAGAGGAACTCTAGTTAGGGCAGAGGGGTTGGAGGGGAATGGAGGGGACAGGGATTTAGTAAGGATGGTGGAATATGATAGACATCATTATCCAAAGTACATGTATGAAGACACAAATTGGTGTGAATATACTTTGTATACAACCAGAGATATGAAAAATTGTGCTTTATAAGTGTTATAAGAATTGTAATGCATTCTGCTGTCATATATAAATAAAAAATAAAAATGAATTAAAAAGACAAATATCAAATGACTTTACCTATATGTGGAATCTAAAAAGTGTAATTCACAGATGCAGAGAGTAGAAAGATGGTTCCCAGAAGCTAGGGGAGTAGAGGAGGAGGAATGTTTGTCAAAGGGTACAAAGTTTCAGGATGGCCAGTGTTTTAGAGAATGACTATATAACATGGTGTCTAAAACTAATTGTAATGCATTATATACTTCAAAGTTGCTAAAGAATAGATTTCCAAATTTCTCACCAGAAAAAAATAAGTATGTGAGATGATGGATATTAAATTACCATGAGTTTTGATCTTTTCACAATGTAAATCTCTATGAAAACATACCATTAAACTCTATAGATATATGTGATCATTATTGGTCAA